TGGGAATGACAAGAATAGGAGGACTCAGCCTTCAGGTATATGTAGAAAGTTTGGCAAAGGCCGACATTGGATCAATGAACACAGAACAACAAAAGACAGACAAGACAACCTGATACCATCGGGGAAAGACCTTGAAGGGCCTCTCACAGGCCCCCAAGTCAAAAGTGGTCCAGTCATTCCCAGTCACTGTGGAGGACATGTCTCACTAGGAAAAAAAAATCCAGAGCCTTCTGTAAAAGACCATACTGTTCTAGATGTTGGCATAAACATGGAGGATAAGTAAAAATTCCAATAGGAAATAGGAAACGTATATTCTGGCAGACTTCTATAAATTACCAAAGACCAAAGCTAAGAGTACGTATAAAATGCATTGTAATTGCTGATTTTATAGACACAGGTGCAAGAGTATCATTACTCCAGAATCTTGGCCTCCAAATTGGCCTCTTCAAGAGGAAGATGTTCAACTACTAGGAATTGGAACCCTATCTCAGGTTAAACAAAGTACGAGATGGGTTGAACGCATACGGCCAGAAGAACAGAGAAGAAAGCTGAGGCCTTATGTGGCTAATATTGCAGTAAATTTATGGGGTCATGACATGCTGCAGCAATGGAATACCCAGATTAACATTCCTGCAGTCCCAGAAACTCTATACACAAAGGTGTATTTGTAAATGTATATTAAAGGTACTATACACTCAGGCTGTACAAGAACACAAAGTAACTGGCAAACTTTTAGGGGTTCCAACAGACCTACCTTTAAAATACTTAACTGAGAAACCAATATAGGTTAAGCAATGGCCTCTAGTTGAAGAAAAGCTGCGGGCTTTAGAACAGCTGGTACAAGAGCAACTAGATGCTCACCATATTGAAGAATCAACCAGCTCTTGGAATTTTCCTGCATTTGTTGTAAAACAGAAATCTGGTAAATAGGGAATGGTGACAGATCTAAGAGCTGTCCATAACGCAATTCAACCTATGGGCCCTCTACAGTCTGGAATTCCTCTATCTTCTCTATTACAAAAAAGATGGCCTCTCATAGTTATTAATTTGAAAGATTATTTCTTCACTATACCTTTACAAGAAAAAGATAGAGAAAATCTTGCCTTCACAGTGCCTACTTATAATAATTCTCAACCTACTATGAGGTATCACTGGACTCCCACATGGAATGCTCAATGGCCCCACTCTGTGCCAATACTTTGGAAATAATACGTAAGCAATTTACTAAGTCTATAATTTACCATTACATGGATGACATTTTGCTATCTGATTCAAACATAGATACTTTAGAAAGAATGTTTTAAGAAGTAAAGAAAGTTTTGTCAAAATAGGGATTACATATTGCTACTGAAAAAATACAGAGGAGATTCTGTCAATTACCTAGGTTATAGAATAGGTTTACAGAAAATTAGAACACAAAAGGCACAAATTAGGAGAGACCAGTTGCAGACTCTTAATGACTTTCAAAGATTGTTAGGAGACATTTCCCGTCTACGACTGGCTATTGAGATAACACCTGATCTAATAATTCATTTAAACAAAACCTTAGATGGTGATAAAGACTTGAATAGTCCCAGAGAATTAACAGCTGAAGCAGAAAAGGAATTGGCAATTGTCGAGGAGAAATTAGAGGAGGCACATGTGCATAGGATGAATCCAAATCTTAATTGTATTCTAGTCATATTGCCTTTCAAAATTTCTCCTACAGAATTTTAATGCAGAGGGACAATATTATATTAGATTAGATCTTTTTTACCACACAAACCAAGTTAAAAATAAAAAACTTATGTAGAGAAGTCTCTGAATTAATTATAAAAGGTAAATTGAGACTTTGTCAATTAGCAGGTATAGACCCAGCAGAGATTATAGTGTCTTTTACTACTGATGAAATAAAAAAGTTATAGGAAGACAATGAACCATGGAAAAGAGCTTGTGCTAATTTTTTGGAAGAAATAGCAATTATCCCAAAAGCAATAGAGTTAACTTTATAAAGAGAACTTTTTTGTGTGAGTCTACCCCTAAATAAATAACCCTCTATTTTTCTCAATTCTGAGCTAGTGTGGGATTTCTTTTACGCGTCCATCCACAGGCACCTACTGAGTAGAGATTAAGGGTACTTCTAAACATCCTACAATATCCAAGGCAACCTTTTACAACCAAAATCCATGTAGCCCAAAGTGTCAGTTGTATTTGTGTTGAGAAATCTACAGGATCAAATTAAGTTCACACTGAGAAACAATCGCGCATGTAGCCCAAAGTGTCAGTTGTATTTGTGTTGAGAAATCTACAGGATCAAATTAAGTTCACACTGAGAAACAATCGCAAATCCTAACTTTTTCTTCTCCCTAATGGGCTGCTGAAATACTGGCTGCTAGGTCCTTCTTGCCAGAGACTGATAGAAGCTTCTCTGCAGAAAGTTAGTGGTTGAGGAAAGAGACATAAATAATCCTACATAAGAGACTAGGAAGAAAATGAATTTTAAGAGGGAAGAAATGCATATATTACCTCCGTTCAAACTAACCAAGATTAAATCAATTGTGGTAAATGAGAGCTGAAATAATGATAAACACAGAGAAAATTAAGTAGTTTTGTTGTTTTTAAAAGCAAACTGTTATCCCTTAAAAGAAAGTAAGAAATATACAGTTTTGCAGCAAAGTGCAAGTGTATAGTCATTATAATAAGAGCACTGAGTGTATTGGGAGGGCTGGGGGGTTAGCTCGGTGGTAAGCGTGTGTAAGTGCTTGCCTAGCACATGTAAGGACCTAGGTTTGCTCTCGAAGACCACAGATAATAAAGGAAATAAACAATAACTAAATGTGAGAAACGGGAAAAGAAGGGAGAACTAGAAAGGATGGAACAGGAGTAGAGAAGTGAACGGTGTTGTCCAAAGACAAGCTATAGTCTCACACAGAAGGGGAGGAGAGGGAGAGGGAGAGGGAGAGGGAGAGGGAGGGAGAGGGAGAGGGAGAGGGAGAGGGAGAGGGAGAGAGACAGTGATTTAAGTGTGGATTTAATGATATGGAGATAAATGTTAGAAGCACCAGCTCAAGGATTAGAAAGTGTTTATTTCTTTGAGCATAATATGGCATGTGTGTGGCAGAAGATGTTTCATAAGTCTGACAGAACTATTTAATTCCACGTATGAAAAGCTAATTATAATTTTTAAAACTGTATTTCATTTTAAGACTATTTGATACATGAATTTGGATCTAATGAGCTCATCTTAGTTCAATTTGAATCAGAATGCAGTATATCAAGAATAAAGAATATTGAAGCAAGTTATTAAACCATTTTTTTTACATTATTCTGGACAAGATAAAAGAGGAGGCCAGTTAAGACTAGACAATTCCTTGATTTACCTACCAAACCCCATGTGAAAGATATTATATGAAATATGATACCACCAAATGTTGTTATCTTTACCCATGGGTATCACCAGATACCATTTCATGTGTTTCCTGAGAGATGGGTCACTTCACTTTATATTCTCTCTTACATTGTTTGAACTTTACAGATAGAAAGACATATGAACAGGACAAGGAGTCAAAAGCCACAGTCACACAGAATATCCTTAGTAATTAGTTCAGATCTGTTCTCACAAATTTTGATCTAACTCAAAATAATAGGACAGAAAAGAAAAACATATAAGACAAAGAACATAAAAACATCTCTAATAAAATACTGCCTTCTTAAATCTCATCAGGTAAATCTGACAGGCATGAAATAAAATGCTGAGAAGCTGGTACTAAGTAGAATTCATAGGCCATAAAGTGACATTGGGTTTCCTCATAAAGTAGAAATTTCAATTGTTATATATATATATATATATATATATATATATATATATATATATATATTACAGAATGGAGGCAAGAACCATTTTAGATAAATGAGGGTTTATTCTTTAGGTTCATGTACTTGCTTCCTTTCTTTGCAATAGCTCATCTGTCTCTAAACCATGATGGTTAATGTTTCTTTTGCGCTCCACAGTACCTAAAACACAGCTAATCATTTGGGTAAATACCAAGAGTTACTGATTAAATTAAGCTGAAGAATTAAATCATTTGGGCACAGGAGAGTCTAACAATGTCAGAGAGTAAATTTCAAGTTTCTCTGTAATTCTTTCAATGATATTTGACACTATTCCACACTTGTGCTAAGAATGCACAAATTCTTCTACTTTGTCACAGAGTATATAAACCCAAGCTCATTGGAAAGGCTGGCTTTGTTCTGCTCCATTCCTTCTCTTTCTTGCTGCTATCATACAAAAACTGCGATCTTCTAGATGAAAGAAGTCACTTTCTTTTGTTAACTTTATTATCACAAGGTCATCTCCTACCCTTACCCAAAAACTCAGGAAAACGTCATCTTATATCCCTCACATCAATCACTTCTGAGTCTCGGAATGACCCTCTGAGGAAGAGAAGAAGGCAGACCAGGTAATGGGAATTCAAGTTTTCTTACAAAAAACTGATGTCTAGATAAACTGTCTGGTTCCATGGGTACCAAATGACAAAGACACAAGTTCTTGAAGTCCAGCTTTTCTTTCTACTACACCACACTAACTAACCCTTTGATAACAAAATGGAGCAAACTCCAAACAGTAGAATCTTCAAAGATTACAATTATGATTTACATGGCCATAAGGTCTCACTTCAATCATGTCAAAAACAATTATCAGCTTATTAAGTATTCATGGCTTTGCAAATCATAATTCATTTTTTAATCACATGAAATAACTGGCATTAATTCAAAGGTTCTAACAAGTCAGAAGACAGAAAGAAGACTCTAAACCTCCTCTAACTTACCTTCATGACACTACCCTGACTGATGATGTAGTTCTTCTGTGGCCTTATTAGGCTGAGAAGTACTTTTGATAAACTTTTATGTTAAAGAAGAAAGTCAGTTTAAAAACAACAAACAAACAAACAAAAAAACCCACTCATTTCTCCATAGTTTAAAGTCAAAAATAACAGCGGAAGTAAATTCCATCTATTTACCTCAGTAACTGGCTGTCCCTGATGTGTTGTCAAATCCAGTTCTTGAGGGCGCACCACTTTGTCAATATCCAAAGAATCCATGCTAGAAGCTGCAGAAGTGATGCTCGAACGGGAGGAGTTACTAACAGAGTGCACTTCAACATCATTCACAGTGCCAGCTGATGCAGTCCTTCTGTGCTGATTCGTCATTGAAGGTTTAGAATCTTCTACTACAGATTGCTGAGCGGCCTCATCCATGCTCAAGGAAGCCTGTTCTAATTGTGCAGTGATGTCATCCAGGGAGTAGTTAGCATGGGAAGGTTTAGTAGTTGTTCTATTAGAAGAAGATGATACTCCTACTCCTCTCAGAGAGCCATGTTTCGACGTATGCCGGCTAGGTAGCTTCTGAGTGACTTTTGGTTCTGTGACTTGACGCTTACTATTTCCTGAGCCAATACTGCTGAGCTCCTGTTCTATGGAGCAGAGATCAGCCATCAGGGCATCCAGATCCACAGTCTCTCCCTGATTCAGAGCTTCTACAAAGAAGACATAAGTTTCCAGAACATAATCAAAATCTATACATCCTACGATAAATTAGTCATAGGCAGTAGAAAAAAAGCAAAAGAACACATTTCATTGGGTCTAAAACCAATAAAATAAAGCACTTAGTTGGTTTTGTTTTAAATTTTAAGAGAATTTTTAAAGCAAATAGTCCGTCTTTTAAGATCTCTATTAAAGAAAATAAGGTTGTAAGTTCAAAGACACAATACTGAAAACACCTTGTGCTATGCCATGGCTTTAACCAAATCTCCCAGGTAACTTTGTACTGTTATGCTGGCTAATTTTATGTCAACTTTACACAATCTGAAAAGAGGGAACCTCAATTGAGAAAACACCTCAATTAGGGCATTTTCTTAATTAGTGATTCAATCCATTGTGGGTGGTGCCACTAGTGGGTTCGTAGTTCTGGATTCTGTACGAAAGCAGGCTGAGCAAGCCATGGGGACCATGGCTTCTTTATCAGCTCTTCCCTCCAGGTTCCTGCCTTGTTTGAGTTCCTGTCCTGACTTCCTTCACTAATAGACAACGATATGGAAGTGTAAGCCAAATAACCCTTGGCTTCCCAACTTGCTTTTGGTCATGGTGTTTCACTGCAGTAATAGAAACACTAACAAAACAGCTGTTAATATCGTCAGTGTCCAGGTAGATAAAATACTGCCAAGAGAGAGAAGAGCATAAAGAGAAAAAAAAGTAAAAAAACTTAGAACATTTATTCCAAACACTAAGAAGTGGCTAGGTACACTAAAGAAAGGTCACACCAGTAATTACTAAAAACAATTTTCTTTGGACTTTAATCCAGTCAGAAAACAATGTAATCAGATTGATGTGGGCTTTCTCATTAGCATACACAATATCAAGTATTAAATATAAGACAAGAAAACTATTTGTTATGTTCTAGTTGCTTTTTTCTTCTGGAACTCTTCCAGTTAATTTGAATTAATATGCACAAATCAACAACAGAACCCAGGATGGAAAGAAAGATGGCTCAGTGGCTAAGAACATGTGCTCTTTTTCTGGATGACCTGAGTTTAATTCCTAGCACCCACACTAGATGGTTCACAACTACAACTACCTATAACTCTAGCTCTAAAAGGATCTGACACTTCTGGCTTCTGCAAGGACCAGCACTCATGTGCATAGCTCCCCCACACAAAACACACTAATTTTAAAAAGGAGAAACAAAACCCAGCCAAGTTATATATATAATTTTTATACTGTTTTATATTTAGAATTGCATTTCTATCATTTCTGTATTACAGAACTCAGTATATTATCTTAAACTTTCCTTAATCAAATCTTACCATTCAAGTTGTATATGGAGAAGCGGTAAGAAAAGTTGGCCATGTTTGTTTCCTGGCGAAGAGGAGATCTTTTCACTGGTTCTTTAGGCTTGTCGGAATCCAAACTCTTTTAAAAAATGAAAGTTTAACAAATAACATTAATATGAAATTCCATTACACAAAAAGATTAGAGAAGTACCATACTGTTCATCATCAAAGGAATTCAGGAAAAGAATTAAAGCAGGGTAGGAGCTGATGCAGAGGCCATGGAGGAGTGCTGCTTACTGACTTGTTCCCCATGGTTTGTTTAGCCTGCTTTCTGTCTTTCTTTCCTTTCCTTTTTTTTTTTTTTTTGTTTTTTGTTTTTGTTTTTCGAGACAGAGTTTCTCTGTAGCGTTGGAACTAGCTCTTGTAGACCAGGCTGGCCTCGAAATCACAGAGATCCATCTGCCTCTGCCTCCCAAGTGTTGGGATTAAATGCATGCACCACCACTGCCTGGCCAGCCTGCTTTCTTATAGAACCCAGGACCACCAGGCTAGGGTTAGCACAACAATGGGTTGGGCCCTCCCCCAACAATCACTAAGAAAATCATCTTATAGAAGCATTTTCTCTCTCAGAACATTTTAGCATGTGTCAAGTTGACATAAAACTATCCAGCACACATATTAACAAAGCCAAAAGTTTTTTCTAAATGATAGCCTCAAGAAAGAAAAAAAACTGATTTTCATTAGCTATCTCTCATTTCTAAATACTTACTTACTTTTAAGATACCTGAGACTCAGAACTATCACAGTTCAGAGTAAACACCTTTTCAAATACATTGTTTAGTCAATGACATCATTCTACATAAATTCATTGTGAAATAATCTAAGTATATGAATACGGACATGGCAAAGAACCATGAAGGAAGTTTTGTGATCTTTCATTAAATGGTTCTATTTTTGATCTATCATAGCCTCATCCATACCTAAAGGCAAAATACAACCTTGAACTTCTTTCATCCACTCACCCACTCACTCCCTTTTGTGGTGCTGGGGACTGAACCTAAGGCCTTGTGCATAGCAGACACTCAGGTCTATCACTAGATTATACTTCTAGCCCTTACCATCTTCTTACCATAATACTCTTCACCTGTAGCCTTTCTCCAATAAGGAAAAGATATCTAAACAGAAAATTACAACAATAACAAAGAAAAAAGAGAAGAGAAGAGGAAAAGGAATTCAACTACTTAAAGTTACAATAGAAAGAAAAGTTAGAATAGTCTTTTACAACTAGTTTCTATATAATGTCCTATCAAATAAGCTTCAAGTTTTAAAAAAGAACTTCAGTGTTGGGTGTGGTGGTGGTGTATGCCTTTAGTTTCAACACTTTGGAGGCAGAGGCAGGATAATCTCTGCATAGTCTACATAGCAAGTCCCAGGACACCTAGGGCTACACAGGGAAACCTTGCTGCAAAAACAAAAACAACAAAAAAGAACTTCATGTATTCTATTTATAGAATCATAAAGTTACATTAGAATGCTATTTTTATTATTTATATAGTTCAAGATTTTGATAATTCATATAAATAGTGTCCATCTTGTTTTTATTGTTTTGTTTTAGACAGTCTCTTCTGTACACCAGGCCTGCCTAAAACTAATTATGTAGCAGAAGATGACCTTGAATGAAGATGCCCTCTAGAATGCTGTGATTATAGCTATATGCTACTATACCTGCATCATGTGGTAATAGGTATGGGTCCTGACCTTGAATGAAGATACCCTCTAGAATGCTGTGATTACAGCTATATGCTACTATACCTGCATCATGTGGTAATAGGAATGGGTCCTGGTGTCTGAATTGTTAGGGAAGCAAGCTATGAAAAAAGCTACACTCCCAGACTCCATTCTGTTTTACTTTTATTTTATGTATATGAGTATTTTGACTGAATGTATGTAAATGTATCATGCGTGTATATAGTAACTGTGGAGACTAGAGAGGCAGTTGTATCACCTAGAACTGGAATTACAGTTATAAGCTGCCATTTGGGTGCTGAGAAATAAACCTGTGTCCTCTGCAAGAACAGCCAGTATTCTTGGTCACTAAGCCATTTCTCTAGTTCTTCATTCTGTTTTTGAAACTATCAAATCAATGTGATCTACAACCTACTCAATGGTTTACTTCAAAAATTTAAAAAACAGCTAAGAAATTCTCCTATAACCCCCAAATTTAATTCTTCAGAAGCAATTTTAATTACTCCTTTCAATAGACTTGAAGGGAGAAATATTTCCTATAAAATAACATGCCTGTAACTGAAGACTTATGAAAAGTCAAACCTCTTTCCAGTTCAAATGAATGAACATGTATTTTAATTACCTGTCCATGGTGCTGAGGCAACAAAGGACATATAGGGAAACACTCGGTAAGTTAAGAAATTGGTAATAAAACATGGTAAATTTTAACCCTCGGGGAGGTAGCTAAAAACCTACAGATCCTTTCCCAGAAAAAAAAGGCCAACATACAATTTTTTAACCACTATTTTAGAAGAATCATCAACTACTTAAATCTTAAGTTTGATTAACCATTAACACTGAATATATGCAGATAATCCTGTAGTGAACTAAGTAATAAAATAAATCTAAGTATATACATGACCATGGCAACTCTTATAAGAAAAACATTTAATTGGGGTGGCTTGCTTACAGTTTTAGAGGTTCAATCCTTTATCATTATGGCAGGGAGCATGGCAGAGTACCGGAGAAGGAGCTAAGAGTTCTATACCTTATGGGCAAAAAGAAGTCGACTAACACACTTGGTGGTATCCTGAACATAGGAATCTGTTGACAGAAGATTCCTATGACAATGGTGCCACAGCCATTCAGTCCCAAAGAATCACACAGAGACTTATATTAATTATAAACTGCTTGGCCTATTAGTTCAGGCTTATTATTAACTAGCTCTTACAGCTTAACTTATAATTTTTGTCTATGTTTAGCCACGTGACTTGGTACCTTTTGCTCAGCAAAGCACTGAGGTATTCCCATATTGCTTCCTCTCAGTCTGGCTGGTGACTGTGTCTCTGGCCTTTCCTCTTCCTAGAATTCTCTTAGTCTGGTCGCCCTGCCTATACTTCCTACTATACTGGCCAATCAGCATTTTATTAAACTAATACAAATGACAAATCTTTACAGTGTATAAGAGGACTATCATACAGCAGGAATCCTCAAAGCTCACCCCCACAGTAACATACTTCCTCCAAGGCCAGACCCACTCCAAGAGAGCCATATCCCCTAATATTGCCACTCCCTATGAGATTATGGAAGCCTATTACATTCAAACTACACATTCCACTCCCTGGTCACCAAAAGCTTGTAACAATATCATAATACAAAATACATTTAGTCTAAACTTCAAAAGTCCCCATAGTTTATCACAGCCTCAACAATGTTTTAGAGTCCAAAGTCTCTTCTGAGATTCATGCATCTTTTAATTATAATCTCCTATAAAAATCAAAATCAAAAAGCAGATTACATAATTCCATCCTATAATGGCACAGGAATTTAGAGTTTGCCCAGCTGGTTTGGGGTCTTGTTTTGGTCCAGTGTTTCCTCACTATGCTCTATGTATATACATTGTCATTCCAAAATGTTAATAGCTCTCCTCAGCAGGTATCCCACTGTTCTGGCACCTCTAACACTTGGGGTCTCCAAGGCAATCCAGGTTTCAACTTCACAGCTTCACACAATGGTCTCTCTACTAGGCCTCATTCAGGGATACCTGACACATTCCTGACCTCAGAGGCTTTCTTTAGGTATGGAGGCATACCCCCTTTTTCTATCCTTAATTCTAAAGCTAGAACCATGTGGCTGAAACTGCCAAGTTCTGCTGCTTGCTGGGGCTGGAACATGCCCCCCTTGTTCAATTACATCTTCACCAGCTTTCTTTCCTTCACTGCCTAAGTCTGGCTGTCCTGAAACTTATTCTTTAGACTAGGCTGTCCTGAAACTCAAAGACTACCTGCCAGGTGTCCCCTTTCCTCCAGCAAGGCTGGACCACTCATTCAAACAATAACCTCTCCAAAAGAGCTACAGACTAGGGTCCAAGTATTTTAAACCCAAGCAGTTGGGCACAACTGTGAGGGGTTTCCTTGATTGAATTATGAGGTGGTAAGACATACCCTAAATCTGGGCCACACCTTCTGGTGGCAGCCCACTTAAAAGGATTTGGAATAAAAAAACTTTTGCTTTTTGCCTGCTTGCCCATCCTCTCTGTAGTATCTATCTACCTTTCAAACTGATCCACAGCTAAGAAGGAAGTTAGAACTTTAAGCCTTCATTTCATTTTTCCATTAGTTATGGAATTTTATACTTATGTATTCCCAAAGAAATTATTTAAACATAAGTAAGTTTTAACAGTCTCATTATTATGAAATTAAATTTGTTTTAATAAATATGACCATCTTTATTATTACATACAGTACATTAACCAGGGAAGTAAAAACTCCATTTTTTTTTAATTCTAAAAAAAATAGGGGATAGGGGATAATGGTTTAGCAAGTAAAATGCGTGCCATGAAAACCTGGGCCCTAAATTCAATCCCAGGGATCCACATAAAGGTAGGAGAGACTCCACAAAGTTGAACCCTAATGTCCACATGCAAACTGTGGCATGCATGCACTCGCCCCTCCCCCTCACACATACACACATACAATATAACAAAAATTTAAAAACTAAGACCTATGATCCAAAACAAATGAACAAACGGACACCATGATGTCCCATGCCTGACCCATGCCTGACCCGTGCCTGTAATCTCAACATTTGGGCAGTAGATATAACAAGATTGGCAGCTCAAGGTCATCCCTGAAATCAAGTTACGTGTCAAGTCCAAGATCAACCTGGGCTACATGAGATGCTATCTCAAAAACTAACCAACCAACCACTCACCACCACACTCAATCCACAATCCAACAAAACAAAGCAAAAACCAAACTAAAACAGAAACTTTAGAACAATTTTAAATGTAGCCTGGAATGAACTTTTGTCAGTATTTTGAAACTATGAGCAAGAAAATACGAACAATATATGTCATAAGGTATATTTAAATTTGTTACAGAACAAAATATGTCAAAATTTAAATTTTTAAAACTTTAGACTTTAAAATTGTTTTAGCTTACAATTCAAATTTATGAAAGAGGTATTAAATTCTCTCTCACATTAACAGAAACCCTGTTAAAAAATTGTTTTTTTTAAAACCTTAGAATATTAATAGAAAAGGGGCTAGGAAGATGGGTTAGTTGGTAAAGCACTTGCAAGCATTTGACTCTCAAACCCAAATCTAAATGGTGGGCACTTGTAATCCTAGCCCCTGGGTCGGCAGATTTAGGAAGATTGCCCAGTAAGCATGATGCCAAGGAAAGACCTACCTTATCTGGCGACTTCCTCTTAGGGAACCCATACCCACACTGCCTCCCTACCTTCTTCTGAGCACCTTTCCTCCCATCCTGTCCTGTTGCTTACACCTATATTAAACTTATCTTTAATAAACATCTTTAACTCTGCTTCACTAAAAGGGGGATACTCAGAAAGAAAGAAGAGGAGAGAAAATAGGACCCTATACTTCAAAGAAGTAGTGGCCTTCCAAGGAAGAAGCCCTGAGGATATCCTCTGGTCTCTACCTTGCATGTACACGTTCACACAGATAAACACACATATCACACATACATTCTCACATAAGCATATACAAATAATAACCACAGATTATAGTATCTTGCATTGTAAAGTTTCTATTCCTCTACCTGTTAATGCTTTTTTTTTCTGTAACCAGCATTTTAAAATTTAGCTTGCACTCATATCTTTTGTTTGTACATTAAGCTTTAAACATGTAGTGATAGCTTCAAATCTTCAATCAGTTTTTTCAATAATCCTAACCTGAGTAAGTTTGTCCAGTTCCCCAAGCCAGGCTCCAAACATTTTATCCAGGTCCTGATCTTCCTTGTCACTGTCTTCTTCAGCACCATGGTCAATTTCTTCATCTGATAATTGCTCCATCTGAAATACAGGCATCTGTATTGAATGAGCAGTTACAACTTTATCTTAAAAATTATTCAGAACAAGGTATGATACATGATGTGATTCTCTGAAATCAAATCTTCAAAACTAGACTATAACATAAAAAAATAGAAATGATTAACAAAGACAATCTTGACAAACAGAATGAGGAAGGAAGCCTCAGTTCAAGGAACAGATGAGCCTAGGAGTTCAGTTCCCTACAGAAGGGAAACTATCAAATATGACTAGATTCACAAACAACAATTTTCAAAATACACACTAGCAGAAAGTACAACTGTAGTGTCAATCTCTGTGCTGAATGGCTCTGTAATACTCCAAATATAGTTTCAAAGACTTCACACAGAATTCCACAAATATTAGACTAGATATCTTACAGAATACGTTAAAGTTCCACTTAAGTTTCCTGATCTGTCACATGAGGACAACTATGTTCTGAACATACTGAACCTCAAATCATGCACCGACATGCAAAGTTACTGAAGCTATAATAAAGTCCAAAGACAGTGGCAGGTAAACAAAGCTCTGCAAAATCCTAGCCTTCAGGGACCTCCCCTCACCATTTTCTGCTTCCTCACTCCTTCAGTTTTATAGACTCAACTGTCTTACTCATTGGAACATACACACTTGTTCCAACCTCCAGTCTTTGCAATGTCAGCTCTCCTACCTGGAACTCTTTCCTCCAGATATGTGCAGGTTTGTGCCCTTGCTTCATTCAAGAGAGCATCCCATCAAAATAGCACTCCGTCCTTGTTACATTCTGTCCCCTGTAGGGTTTTAGTTTTCTTCATAAAACTGTTTTGTTTTTAAGAGGGAGTGTAGAGTTTCTCTATGCAGTACTAGCCATCCTAGAATTCTAGGTAGACTAGGCTGGAATTGAACTCACAGAGGTCCACCTGCCTCTGCTTCTGAGCACTAGGATTAAAGGTGGGCACAATCATACTCGCCTTCTTCGTAGTACTTCATTTATTTATTTATTACAACCCAACTGCTGTTTCCCCTCTTTCCTCTCCTCCAAGTTCCTCCCTCATCACTTCCCCTCGATCCCCCATCCACTCCTTCTGTTTCTTTTCAGAGAAAGGCAGACCTCCCATGGATATCAACCAAACATGCCATACCAAGTTGAAACCCAGACAAGGCAACAATCCACTATAAGAATAAGAATCTCAAAAGCTGGCACAGGAATCAGAGATAGCCCCTATGCCTACTGTTAGAGGAGTCCCACAAGAAGACCAAGCTACACAACTGTAATAGCTATACATAGTGCCTAGGTCAGTCCTAATCAGGCTCCCTGGTTATTAGTTCAGTCTCTGTGACCCCTATAAGCTCAGGTTAGTTGATTCTGTGGGTTTTCTCGTGTGTCTTCATAATACTCTTAACCACATTTATCATTTCTCTTCTCCACTGGAAGGAAAGATCCCTAAGAGTAAGGGTTTATTTCCTTCTGTATTTAAATACTTTGAGTGGTTTGGGTCATAGTTGTGTCACTGTCATTAAGTATCTGTTTAATAAATAAGTATTTAAACACACACACAGTTTTTTAAAGGTCCCTAAGAACTTAAGACCAAAGACCACAAAATAAATATTATTATACAAATAATAAAGAATCAAAATAAACCCTGAGTACTAGTCCTTCAAAACCAGGTAGGTAGTTCATAAAGAACTCCTTATTTGAGGCTGGATAAATGGCTCAGGAGTTAAAACCCAGATTCCATAGCCAGCCGCTCACAGCTGCTTATAACTCCAATTCCAAGGAATCTGATGCCCTCTTCTGGTTTCCATATGTACTGCATATACACAGTCCACAAGCATAAGCTCAGGTATATACTAATAACATAAATAAGTGAGTAACTTCTATCCTCTTGCCTCTGCTTCCTGAGTGTTGGGATTTACAAGTGTGCACATTAGACTATATGGGGTGCAGGAGATGGAATCAATGATTTTATGCATCATAGGCAAGCACTATACCAATCAAACAACATTCCCAGCTAACATTACACTAATTATTTAAGACTTTATTCAATTGTAAATGAAGAAAATTGGACCAAGAAAAATCAAGTAACTTTCCGAAGCTTAGTAACAGTAAATAAAAGTGCAAAAATCTTATTTTCTATATTCATGATTATTGATTATTGTAGGTTGTTTTTACTGGCCACCATGTATATAGGGAAGTTTGACAAGAGTAAAACAATTTAAATACCACATTTTTATTCATTTTTTTTAAATAACATTGACTGGGTAGCTGTCAAATGCAAGGCACTATGCCAAGACCAGGGACACAAGCTCAGCTAAAATCCATTCCTAGGGATCCCTATTGTACTGGCATGAGGAATGTAAAGTCAGAGGACAACCTTTGGGAACTGCTTCTCTCTTCCCAACATATATGAGTCCCAAAGATCAAACTCAGATTGTCCAGTTTAGTAGCAGGTACCCGCAGTCACATTTCACTGTATTTTAATAAATAAAGCTTGCCTGAAGATCAGAATATAAAATAGCACACTAGTAATGATGGGGAAGAGTCTTCTGTTTTGTGTTAATTTCATTGGTTAAATAAAGAGACTGCCTCAGCCCTTTAAAAGGACAGAAAATTAGGTAGGCGGAGTAAACAGAACAGAATGCTGGGAGAAAGAAGCTGAGTCAGGAAGTCACCATGATTCTCCCACTCCAGACAAACGCAGGTTAAGATCTTCGCTGGTAAGCCACCTCGTGGGCTACAAAGATTATTAGAAATGGGTTAGATCAATATGTAAGAGCTAGTCAATAAGAGGCTAGAACTAATGGGCCAAGCAGTGTTTAAATGAATACAGTTTCCGTGTAATTATTTCAGGTAAAGCTAGCCGGGAGCTGGCCGGGAGGGAAGCAGCCCCGCCGCTCTTATTTCAACAACTAGTCAGGCACATAGCCAGGGAATGGTCGCGCATACCTTTATCGCAGCAGCCACACCAGTTAGCCAAAGAGGCTGGATGGTGGTGGTGCACGCCTTTAACCCCAGCACTAGAGAGGAATGTAAGGCAGAATGAGATAGGAACTCACTCTCTTTCAGTCTGAAGATTTCATAGAGGTAAGAGCTCTCTAGTGACTTGGCTGCTTTGCTTTTCTGATTTTCAGGTTGAACCCCAATATCTGTCTCTGGGATTTTAGTATTTGTGCTGCACACCCTTTCATCTTGCTGGCCCCATCAAGGATTGAAAAAAAAGGAAGGAAGGAAAGAAGGAAGGAAGGAAGGAGACAAACGAAGAAAGAGGGGAAAAAGGAAGAAGAAACAAAAAAAGAGAAACAAAGAAAGAAAGCAAAGTAGACTAGCAATATATCATTGTTATATACTAGGCAGTAAATAACTGTGCTAAATTATTAAAGGTCAAAAATTATAGTATATAGTAAACTCAACTGCACTCAGTCTATAGCCAGAAATCTTTGTGGAACTATTAAGAAGCTCCTCTGTACCGCACACACTGTGTGTGTGTGTGTGTGTGTGTGTGTGTGTGTGTGTGTGTGTGTATGGAATGTGTATGGCTGCCACCTTCACAATATCATAGATGACATCACTAGTGATGCAGCAGAATGCCTAGCTAGTTAAAAACAAGAAAAAAATAGGCCTGAAGAGCCTGTAGTGCAATGTTTTCCTTGCTGTGGTCTGTTCACGGTATACATCAAAAGTACCTGGGAGTATATATTGTTTAAATGTCAGGGTTGTTTGTTTGAGTAGGAGCTGGGAAATGAATTCACCTTCTCTGGAGGAGCAGCAAGTATTCTAAAGAACCGAGCCATCTTTCCAGTTCACTAAGAGACAGAATATAAGTGACCTAACCTATGTCAAGGAGGTAGGACATTTTAAAGAAACTCCTCCACGTATTATGTTCTCTAAAGTTTGTCAACTACAGTATAAATGACTGTGTTATCACGGCTACTAGGAAGACTTTAGAACAAGTGATGCAGTCTTATGCAATGACTGTGTTATCACTGCTACTAGGAAGGCTTTAGAACAAGTGATGCAGTCTTATGCAATTGCAATTAGCTTAAAGGCTGAACAAACTAGAATACTATTCTAGTATGCTATAAAAAATAAGGGATCATAAGGATAAAAAAGTTACTGGTAACCACTTATTTCTCTTCTATCACAACAGAATTGTTTTTTAATCACTTACTTAGACAATTTTAGCTCTTTGTTTCAAGTTACTTTTCATCAGCTTTCTCACAAAAATAGTTTGTTGAAATATTTCCTAAACTGTTCTAATATTATAAGTAATTCTATAGCAAACTTCAGTATATAGTATGTGAAGACTTTCAGGATCAAGGAATGCCTCCAACTATGCAAGATACAGCTGCAATAACACTCCAAGGTATTTACCCAAAGGAGACTTCAAATCATTGTCAGAGATACTTGCACGTCAATGTTTATTGTAGCACTGTTCAGTATAGTGAAGTCTGCAGCCAATCAAGGTGCATTGACGTGGGAGTGTCACATATCAATCTGTTGCTTTCATTGGTTAATTAAGAAAGAAACTGCTTGGCCTGATAGGTTAGAACATAGGTGGGTGGAGTAAACAGAACAGAATGCTGGGAGGAAGAGGAAGTGAGGCAGATGCCAAGCCTCTCTTCCCCAGGGCAGACGCAATGGAGCCAGCCACCAGGTCTTACGTGCTGAATCTTTCCCGGTAAGACACAGATTATTAGAAATGGGTAAAGCAAGATATGAGAGTTAGCCAAGAAGAGGCTAGAAACTAATGGGCCAAGCAGTGTTTAAATGAATACAATTTGTGTGTTGTTATTTCGGGGCATAAGCTAGCCAGGCGGCCGGGGTCAGGGCAGCAGGAACTCAGCCTGCAGCTCCTTCTACAGTGCTTAACAAAACGGATAAAGAAAATGTAACATACAAATAGGATGGATTTTTTTCACCTGTAAAGAACAATGAAATTATGTGATTTGCAGGATGTAACTAGAAACAATCATATTAAGTAAATTAATCCAGTCTCTCAAAAAGA